AGCTGAAAATCCAAAAATAATCAGGTTTTAAGATTAACAGATTTTCAGCAAACTAATACCATTTTTTACAGAAAGATACTTTTTGTGGGTTTTTAGTCAAAAACTCAGTTTCTTCATCAAATTAAGAATTTTGACAGGAAATATTCACCAATTGTTTTCATTACTTCAGCAAAATAAGTACCTATGTGGAATGCTTGAAAATGTTAAGTTAGTGCACATTTTTGCAGTATTGTTTTCCTAGATTTTATTGACAGAACTATCCGTATAAATTGATAAGTGATACAGTGCCTCCTAGGAATTTCTTAGCTAAAATAGAGACTATGGGGATTGATGCTTTAATTGTAAAGTAGAAAAAGCCAGATAAAAGGAATCTTGTGATGTACTGAAAGGGGAGTTATAAAATTAAAGAGATTACTGGTGAAGTTCCTCAGAGATTGGTCTTGAAATTTATCCTATATAATATTTTTGTTAGCAGTGTTGGTGTAAGAACCAGGTGTGTATTTTATGGAATTTGTGGATGACATGAAGTTGCAGGTAGTGCTAATATGGAAGAGGATTGGATTATCATATAGGAAGAATTGAATTACCTTGTGAAGTGAAGTATTAGAAATAGTATGAAACTCACAATTGTGCACTTGGCATCTGATACCAAGAAGTATGGCTATAACATAGGAGGATCATGCTTTGGAGAAAGAGGGGACTTGACAAATAGGTAGCTTGTAGGGTGACTGTGAGCCATCAGTGTGCTACTGCAATGAAAACAATAAATGCATAGGGCATAGTAAGTGGATTATTGTAGTAAAAAAATTAGTAGCAGAAAATGAGAATAGAGCATTGTGTATGGTTCTGATTTTCAGAAAGGATTACTTAAAACTAGAACGGGGAAAGAGACCTGTAGAGAGGGTTACTAGTATAATTAGGGAAATGGAGAATATTTTAACAGGTAATTAAATGATTTTGGCTCATTTAGCTTAGCAAAGTAATGACTGAGAAGGGTAATGATCTTGCTAAATAAATTGGGGGGAGGCGCCCTCAGGAATGAACAGAGCAATTAAGTGAAAGGGTAATATTGGTACAAAACTAAATGGCTACAAACTGACAAAACGGTCACAAACTTTAACTGAAAATAGAAGATTGTATCTAAATACTGAAGGAATGAAGTTTTGGAATGGTCTTCTGAACCAAGTAGTGATGGGAAGGAACCTAAATTACTTCAGGGTTTCTTGCCATATTATCCTGCAAAGGACAGTATACTAGGGTAGGGGTGTTGATGATATGATTCAAGAATCAAAGCATATTACATATGATTTAGAGCAGGAGCAGGCAAAATGCGACCTGCAGGCCGGATCCGGCCCACCAGGCAATTCCATTTGGCCCAGGGGGCCCATCTGTAAGCTCTTGGTAAGCCTCTGCAAACTGGCGCCTCCATGCAGGTGGTGCAGCTCTGGTTGCTAACCAACCACCCCCTACCCCAGCTTGGCCTGACCTGTCCCCAAGCCCCAAGCTAGGGGGCACTAGAGACTAGTAGCCTCTGCCTGGCATAGGTTTTTGCCTGGCCACCAAATGGCTGTTCCCATCCTCCCTGCCTGTGAGCCAGGAAATGCAGGTGAGGGCCCTGCTAGGCCAGGACCAGGGACTCCCACTGAGGGAAAGGCCGCAGGAGTGCAGAGAGCCAGGCACATTGGGGCCAGGCTGGGTTGGTCCCGCATGCTGCAGGCATGCAGAAGGTGTGCACTATGGGGCTGGGTTGCGCTGGTGGGACTTGGGGGTTACAGGTCTAGGTGGGGCTTATTCTACACATTGTCACCACCTGTGGCCAGGGACCGGGGTGGGAGCTCAGGAGCTGTGTGCTATGGGTGGAGCTGGCCCCATACCCTGCCACAATGTGTGGCTGGGGACCTGGGTGGGAGCACTTTATGGGCCAGGTGCGACTGGCCCCACATGCTGCCACCACCTGTGGCCAGGGACTGGGGTGGGAGCTCTGCGCTATGGGGCCTGGTGGGCTGACCCCACTCATAGCCAGCATGTGCAGATCCAGGGACTGGCATACTCCAGGAACTCTGAGGACCCCCTCCCTCCACACACACACACACACCACCCCCCGCCATACCCTTGACACACATTCACACGCTCCCACACCCACCGTAACCTGACAGCCCCCCCACACTCCTCCACCCCATCATACCCACACACACCCCCACCCCAACCACATACCCCACACTCATACCCCCACCCTCCCCCACACACTCCACCCACCATAACCACACACCACACCCCCCACAACTCACCACACACACACCCACCACAAAAACCCGCTTACCCCTACACACAATATACAAGAGTAAGAGTGTATTTTGACCTATTATGCAATCACCTCTAACTGCCCTATGCAGACATGCATACATCAGAACAAAAACTTTTTTTAAAATAAAATGCAAATAAGTTATAGTAGGTGTTTGATTTTTAAAATTTTTTTTTTTTTATATATAGTATATGATTTTTTTTTCTGGCTTCAAGATGACAATCCCCCTCCCCCCCATGAATACTTCTGGGGCAAGGGAAAGGACTTCCAGTGGCAAAGGTCAGAGGTTAGGGGCAGGACTTCCAGTGCCAAGATGGCAACCAGGGGGCAGGGCACCTGTCAAGGGAAGCGACTACCCGTGTGGCCCTCATCAGCTCACCAAAACTTATTAAGCGACCGTACAGCCAAAATAATTGCCTACCCCTGATTTAGAGTCTTTGCTATCCCCATGAAGAGAGGTTAATGGGAAACTTGTTTAACCATATGGTTGCAGGCTGGTAGTCTCATGTTTCATGGCTTCTCCTACTCATGTTAAGGTACAAGACAGAAGTTCCCCCAGTTTCCCAATTGGTTTCTGTGTTTTTTTTCCCTCTCTCAAAAACATCTTGGACTTTAGGCACAGCTGGAGGTTGAGCTGGGGGCACAGGTGTTTCTAACAGACAGGAGAAACCTCTCAGGTTCCTATCTGGTGGATTTTGCTCCTATACTTAGCATCAAACTAATAAACACATTCAGGGCCAGGAAGCAGTTTTCTCCCAGGTCAGACTGGCAAGAAGTGTTGAGCCTTTCTGCTTTTCACTATTTGCTTCCTCAGATCATCTGAAGTCCTTGCTAGTGCAGTAGCTAAGGCATTGGTAGTGCCCTTGCCTCTCCTGCTGTCTTTCTGCGGTAAACTGTAGATATTTTTTTATTTGGTGTTCTGTGGCTGTGTGTATCAGGGGCCAGAATGCTTTGCCTGTGAACGCAGAGGACTAGACCTGGCAGCCCAGGGGGTCTCTTTCAGTCTTAAGCTCCTAATAAACAATATTACTTATTTGTGCTGATTTCCCAGGGCTTTTCTCTGCCTCTGTTATAGACAAACTAGCGCCATTGTCCAACAGTTATCAACCATTATTACATTATTATGTAATGAAAGTATAAATAGCACAATGAGTAGGTCTGGTAAACCTAACAGATTAATAGAGATCAGACAGAGGAGCAATATTATTGCTAGTGTTGTGAGTAATATCTGAAAGCAGAGTCATTTAAAAAGCTGAGTAATTTAGATTTCTGTTTCCCAGTGTTTTACTGTAACATCTAGTCTATGACAGTTACATTCACGATGTGACCTTGGTTAAATCACTCGACTTCCTTATGGCTAGCTCACAGAAGCCGTGCAATTGTACAAAAGCAAATGCTGAATATTTGACATACGTTGAATAAATACGTTATATAATAATTAATTTAAAATACCCGAGTACTCTGTTTCTTAATAAAGAACAAAGATACATATTTTGATTGTGAGAATTTGTTAGAACATAATTTTTAGCTGTTGATGTCAAATTAATTTGCTTCCATGGAGTACTACAAGTAGATGTGTAGTTTTGAAATAGTCTATTATAGCTATTTGGAACTTGGTGTAAGACTCTTTAGGGATATTTTTATTACTCTTTTAATTGGTTGACAATATTAAAAATAGTGAGTATGGGAAGATGTGCAACTGATTGTGCCTGCCAGGAGAAGAGCTAAGAGATCTAGGGCCAAATTGTAGTCACCCATTCACAGATACAGAGAGGGATCCAGAAGCCTACCTTTTCTTTGAGCCACCACGTGTTGCACTGCACATGGCAGTGCTGTTGCTTGTACCTTACCATTTAAGGAAGGTATGGAGCAGCACCACTGTGCTGGGTATGCGAGAAGTACAGTAACTTCCAGCTCCTGATGGGAAATGCTTCCACACTACTGCCTACTGAACACTGTTGTCTAAATTCACAGTTCAAGAATGTGGTAGATAACTGTTTAGGGCTGAAGTTGGCCTTCACAATAAATGTCACCTTATAAAATGAGGGAATTATTTTCCTAACCCTCCAAAATTATTTCCCTGTTGTGACATACAAAATATTATGCTGGAGTTTTGGAAATAATCTTGCCAGAGTTTTGGAAATAAATAATCTGGAAATAAATATAAATATATATTTTCTTTTAAGCTGCTTAAAAAAAAATGATATAAACTAATAAAATATAAGCTTAAAGTATAATGAGGGTAATTGAGCAGCATTGTAAAAAAATGTTCCTTTCTCCCGTTACCTAAAACCTTATCAGATATCAGGATCACTAAAATATCTATTGACTTAGGAAACTTAAATTGAAAAATAAATATAAAGCAATTTATAACCGCCTAGTCTTTACACAGTGGACATCATAGAGTGTTTTTTATCTGTTTGTCATCTGTTCATCTAATATCAATAATTAACCTTGTGGTAATTTCTCACTTCAGTATTGATAGGGTATAGGTAATTTAAAATAAGCAATATAACATTAGTATTGCATGTGTATTTAAGACAACTCTTGTATCCAACCAGGAGGTACCAGAAAGAACTGTGGATTTTTAATTTTTAGGTGTAAAGAGCAGCGCACCTTCCTATGAATTATTTATTGAATTTTGTGTCATGGACAACGTGAATTTAAATATTCATAATTTTTTTTTGTTTTACCCCAGTTCTTCATTGAGAAGTGTATCAACTGGATCTTCAAGACCCTCCAAAGTTTGTCTGGTGTGTGGGGATGAGGCATCCGGATGTCATTATGGTGTGGTCACCTGTGGCAGCTGCAAAGTTTTCTTCAAAAGAGCTGTGGAAGGTAAATGTTGATGTGGTTATTTATCTTAGATTCTTTCTGATATTTTTGTATTTAGTGATTAATTCCACAATGTTGTTGTTCTGAAAAAAATGTTGAATTAACTCAGCAGTTATAAATGGCACTGCTTTATCTGGAAAACATTTCTGAAACCATTGCTAGTATACAGCTTCTAGAAAATTGGTTAGTCTGAATTTTTTACACATCTTTTTGTTTTTTTCTTTAAACATGCAGAAAAAATGTGCGTAAGCAAACTAACATATACAGATTTTTCATAAGGAAATATTTTAGGCATTCTGCTGTACTTCAGGATTTGCTTATTGCCAAAAATGTGTGGCTTTTTTTAATGTAAGTTTTAAGCAAGCCAGCTGTGTGCCCATAGATCTGTGTTGTGCTTGGCCTCATTAATGTATTCCTCTTTTCTCTGAAAAAAAAAAAAAGGTGACTTTAAGGCCAGGGTAGATTGGTGAGTAAGCCAGGAATGGACAGTTTCAGATTACTTAGAGGTAAATGATGAGCTATTCTTTCATTAAGATTAAATAAGGCATATCAGTTAACAAATGGCTGTGGGGCCTCTCCTTTTATCCTATCTCTTGTTAGAGTTTCTCAATCAAGAGAACTCATTTGAATTACCTTGTCTGCTACAGAAAAACATTATTAATTCTTAATAATTGTTGTAACACCACAGAAAATGCTGTTTGTAGCCTCTCTGCAAATGTAAAACGTTTCCAGGGTGGTAAATATAAGTTTTTAAAATAGGATTAGACCTTGAATGAATGAAGAAAAATTCTTTAGAACAAGTACAGCTTTTTTGACTACTTAGAAAATGAAAAGTTGTTCATAAGTAGAGTGATTCTTCCTTAATTCAGATTTCCTAGACAAAACTGGGAGCATCTGCATATATGCTTTAATGTGCAGTAGCATATTTTATTGCACATTAAAACATCATGTAAAAAAAAATCCTATTACACTGATGTGTAGTAAAATATGCTACTGCACCTTAAGAATCACTTAAACTGTACACATTTGTAACTGTGGATAAAGGTAGCCTAATGAGCATTTGTTTAGTACCTCACACTGGAGGTACTAAATTTAATGAACGTTAGGAAAATCACCTTAGTGCACATGTAGACACGATCCCTATGTGGGAGAAAATACATACTCAATGCGGTGCCTAACTGGTTCTGGGAAAAATGCATGGTGCGACTAGGAAGGTGGTCTTCCATTGTTACGTGATTTGATTTCCTTATGGGTGTTTAATCAACTTTTGATAACTTAACACAGGTACATATCCATTTGCCATTAAGTAGAATACAGGTCTGAGAAGAGGATTCCCCAATGAAACAAGTTTTAAGGCATATATATCTTCTGTAGTCAGCAGGCAAACTAGATTAAAACTCTTGAGTAATGGAGACATGGAATCAATTCATTATTTCACAAAGAATTATGGGCTAACCTTGAGATTAGTAGCAGGCTACGGGCCCCTTGTCTGCTGCCCTCTTGGCTCAGATTTTACCTGTGAGGATTAAGTAAATACTCTGTATTTAAAATTTAGAGTTGTCATAATGTTCCATGTATAGAATATAATTATTGGAGGGTCATGATTTAAAATTGTCATCCTGCCCCCCATCCCCCATTGCTGCAATATGGCAAACAGTGGCAGAGGGAGCCGGCAGTGGGGGGTCAGGGGACAGACAGTCGGTGGCAGGTGGTTGGGGAGGCAGTAGGGGGCAGACAGTGGGGTAGTCAGGCAGCTTGGCACTGTCCCTTGCCCTTCCCCACCTTGTCCTCTAGTGCCTGTCCTCCCTCCCAACACTTTCTCCTCCTGCTTCCTGATCCCTCTAGCATCTGTCCGCCTGCCCCATGCCTGACTCCCTTGGCACTTGCCCCTCCACACCTGGACCCCTGATGCTAACTCCCCTGTGGCTTTTGCCCCAAGTGTCTCTGCCCCTTAGCCCCTTCACTATCTCTGCCCCCCCCTGTCTAGCCCCTGCTGTCTGCTTTCTCCCACCAGGAGAAAGCAGCCCGGTCTCTTCAGCCCAGTCTGAGCCATGCCAGAGCTAGAACAAAGCTAATCAGTAGTGGGGCAGAGGTTGCATGGGAGGGAGAGGCTGGGGACAGACAGGAAGGGCAAAGGTGGCTTGAGAACAGGCAGCTGCTGTTGCTTCAATCATGACTATTGGTCAGGACCGTAGCCAGAGCTACAGCAGCTGACTGTATAACCCCCCCTACCATACACACATACACTTAAATCGTGAATCAAAAACGAAGGGCTCTTTTTCCCATGACAAAGGGGGGTAGGGGGGACTCATCTTGCACTCAAGTAAATACAGTAAAACATTTAAAAATTTAAATTAAAATATATAGTATTTTTAAATCAAATGATGACTTTTTCATTGGGTTTTTTATTACAGTTCAGCTTGCAATTTGTAATCAATAAACAAAAGGAAATTGCCGGACAAAAACACTAAAATGGGACTAATATTGAATATATATTGGTAATTCCATGTACAGCTCACTTATACGGTATAAAGTATGGAAACTTACAGGTGGGCACAAGTCAATGAACATTCTAGGGTTGTCGTACTGTTTCACAGAAAATTCTTAACTGAACAAAATTACTCACAGCATTATTAGATGCTTGCTTTATTTAAACTGGCTTGTGAGCACCTACAGCAAACCTGTATGTTCACCTCAGCAAGCAGTTTAATAACAGTAATACCAATATGCTATCTCTGGTATAAGTTTGAACCTGGCTTCCCTAGTTTTCATATCATTGGGCTCTTATACATGTGCAGGGAGCCTGATCCGACGTGCTATAATTCCAGTGCATCAGAGCAGACTCGATTAATCAAGTCTGCTGGAGCATGGAAATTACTAAATTACTGAAGCTAACTCAAAGTGCCCCTCCGCTGTTTTTCAGCATGGGGATGCTGATACACATGATGCTCTGGGTGCTTTCAATCAGCATAGCTCTTGGAGCTGCACTAATTAAGGCACCCCCCCCAACATTTCCAGGAGCATGTGTATAAATGCCCATTGGTTCTGCATTAAGAAGAAAAGTTCCCATTGATTGCAACTTCTACGTATTTTGGATAGCTGAGAAGATTTAGACGGCTCCAAAACTGGGGTTAGAGAATAAATCTATTGTTCTTCATTTTTTTACTGCCAAATTGTGCTTTAACATGCAACATTTAAATAGGCTGAACCAAAAGAACAAGGTTTGAGTCTACCCAGGGTAATTACAAACTTGCCAGTGAAATCCAACTAGGGTAATCTTTTTGCGCAATATCAAAATGATCCAGTGGTCTTCTAGAGAATCATTTTAGCCTGAAGGATTGAGACTCATTACCAACTTGGCAATTTACCGGAGGATAGATGCAGTTCTTCTAGCAGGAAACGGCCTCGTGCAGCCATTTAGCATTGGGCCACTTGCATAATATCCTAAGGGTATTCTCTTTGTAAAATTATTTGATATTCTCCCTGTCCACAAACCCTCAAAAGAAGGCAGGTGGAAGAATATTTGCAGTATGTTTTTTTAGACTTATTCATCTCATGCTTTCCTATGAACTATTGTTCATAAAATGAAACATCTCAAAGTTATATATTTCTAAATAGAAATGAAAGAGT